GCAATTACCATCGGCATCTGTACAGTCTGAAATAATTATATACACATCTTTTAATTATATTATATTAAAAGTAATATTGCAAGATTTGATACGGTACTCAACTTTGCCAGCGCTATGAATCAACTGCCACTGATTTCTGTTAGGTGGAGTCAAAATGTCAAGACATTGTCATTAAAGTCCAAAGCAAAGAGGCCTGTATGGTAACAGTTGTTGGGGACTTTTATCGGATACACATTGATACGCACTGAGTTCAGTAACATAGAATATCCGTCCTGCATCACCATCACCGCATTCTCTGGTAATACAGTTAGCTTCTATTTTACTTCCTAGTTTAAAACAATCTGTTTGTGTTTCATCTGGGTGGCGACATTCTGAAATAAACATAATAGAGTTATTCCCCATTGAACATTTGGAACCAAATGCATGTAATTAAGTAAATACATGGTAATTAATGAGTATTTCATATAATCCATTAATGAATGTATTTTGGTTACAAATTTTGTAAGTAATATATTTTAGTTTAAAAAACATGTTATCCTCTATTTTTTCACTTCTGGTAGAAAATCTTATATAGTTTCTTTCTTTTAATGCTATTTGGTGAATTGAACAGAATGATATTTTTATATCTGAACTAAATAAAACTGCCACCATGCACACTGTACTAACGTTTATTCTAAAAGCTGATTGATAATTCAGTTCTAGCAGGCAAAGCTAAATAGGCATGTTTCCAAGAACGGACTTTAGTCATTTTAATGATGTATTTTAATTGTGACAAATTGGGACACTAAATTAAAAGATGGATACATTACTTTGTATCTGAACCATCACCTGTTACTCACCTATTTCATCAACACTAGTTTCGCCGTCTTTACATTTGTATCTTACACAGGGTTCTATTGTTCTATAGTATACTTGTCCATCAGCATACACCTGGCCATCAACATCATCTATACAGTCTCTACCTACACGACAAGAAACATTGGGTTGTAACACAGAAAAAGTTTGGTTCGTAGCTAAGAGAAAGATAGCTTGCCAGGCAAAGTAATATACGCCCACTGGTAGCTTTGATATTGATTAAGAATATTTAGAAGTACAGTAACAATCACCAGTATGAAATATTCAACCTTCAGTCATACACTTCTCTTGAACTCCTTAGGGCGATACTGAATAATATTGAGTATGAGTTATTGCCC